AAAAGGAAAAAAACACAAAAAATAGGACGAAAAGAAGAAGAAGAAGAAGAAGAAGAAAACAAAAGAGAAAAAGCAGAAAAAAAAGATTACAAAAAAAAAAAGTGAAAAAAAAAAAAAAAAAAAAAAAAAAAAAAAAGAAGAAAAAAACCTTTCAATTTTCGGTCTGCCAAGAAAAATCCACATTCACTTTCTATTACGATAGCAAATTTTGTCGTTTCTTTTTTTTTTTCTCTCTCGAAACTTCCAACAACGGGGAGAGACGAAGAATTTAAAAATAAAAATAAAAAAACACACACACCTATACAGATACAAAAATGCGATAATAAAAATAATTATAAAAAACGAATAAAATCCACGTTTTCAAATTTCAATATAATTCGATTATTATTGAAAAGAAACAATTTTGAACAATTTTAAAAATGCATTGCAACGAGCAGTAGGAGAATTAAAAAAAAAGAAAATGATGAAGATGAAGATGAAGAAGAAAAAGAAAATAAGAGGGGAAGAATTTTTTTTTTTTTTAATTTAAGCTAACACACCGTTAAGCCGTTTTTTAATTATATTCACACAATGATTATTATTACATTATTTCTTACGATCGACAATCCTTCGACCATCGGCCGATGCGAACCCGTTTGTTACCATCGACGCGATGGTACCTTGTAAATGTGTATATTGGCGCCGCACCATAAAAAATATTGAAAGTTACAAAGATTTTGTATATATTATAAGCGTAGAGACCTAAAACGATGTTTTGTATTGATATTTGCCAAAACTTAAAAGGTAGACTATTATATACACGATATATATATATATATATATATTCATATACACATATATATATATGTATATGTATATGTATATGTATATCGTATATATATATTATATATTATAACGTTGGATCTTATGTAAATCTTTTGTATAGTGTAAAATCATGGATGGTGTTAAAGAATGAATGCTTAAGAATAATAATAATAATAATAATAATTAACAAAAAAAAAGTAATAATTCATGAGAACGAGCGAAATAAGAGAATGATTAAATAAAGATAATAAACGAAAATAAAACACAAAATACAGATTAGAAAGATTGAAACAACAAAATGCTTAAGTGGAAAAGTCGAATAAAAGAGAGAGAGAGAGAGAGAGAGAGAGAGAAAGAGTCGATTATTATTATATATATATATATATATATTATATTATATTATATATATATATACGCGAAAATAGTTTTATATATTTAAGAAAATCTATTTCGACGACGGACCTATCCACTCACAAATATTTGTATATAACACATATACACGAGATCAATCTACTCCCTCCCACTCCACCTCCCCCTCCTTCTTGAGCGAATAATTAAAACGAACGAACGAAAGAAAAGAACAATTTAAAAAAAATGAAAAAAAAAAATTGAAAGAGAGAGAGAGAGAGAGAGAGACGCATACAAGGGGGAGGAAAATATACATCGTCGTAAATCACCGTAAAAAAATTTCTAACATAAAGACAAAAAATGGATTATAAACAAACGTAAGTGGTCAACGATGCATGTTCATCCTTCCCATCTTCGAAATCTGTAGACGTATTAAATTATTATCTGTAGAAATTTAGAATAATAAAATGCGAATATTTCCTTAACGCGAGATGATAACGAAGGAACAATGAAAAAAAGGAACATAATAATGCATTCGCATAATGATCTTGATGAAAAAACTAATGGTCAATTTAAAACCATCATCACTGTCATCTTACAAGCACTCTCCTCTCATACATAAATACATATGTACAATGATTATATATATATCAATATATAATCATTATCTATGTATAATATAATTATAAATATGTATATATAAGTTTATATATATACATATATAGTACATGTATAAATATATTATATGTGCCAGTATTTATAAAGTGTGAATTAATTCAAGAAATTTTGAAAAAAATTTAATTTATTTTATGATTTATATTTAGTAATATATGAAATAATTTTTTAATATTAAATAAAAATCATATAAAATTAAAATGTTTTCATATTTGTTTTTTCACTTGTTGTTGTTGTTCCACTGTCATAATTATCGCGCGGCACATATAATATTTATTTGTAAATTACAAATCGAAACAATTATCTTTTACAATTACGAAGATTGATTTATTATCATACAATGTACAATATCGATTGCAATTGAATGAATAATATGCAATAAATCCTTTTTACATTTGGTTTGGACAAGGACGTGTACGGATCACAGTTCGTAGTTTCGTACTTTTTTGAAAACACATACATACGTACATATTTTAAAATTGTTTTCTACAATAAGATGATCGATTCAATAATTAATAATTTCGTTAGTTCGAAATAAAAATAATGATGATAATGATGATGACGATAATGATGATGATGATGATGATGATGATGATGATTTAAATTGCGCATATATATTATATAAAGAAATTTCTTTCGGATATATCTCGTATTATTACAAACATGATAGTTGATTTTTGTCGTTGTCATCCCAAATCTAATGGGTATATATGCTCGAAAAAAAATAGCGGATAAACAAAACGAAACGAAACAAAAATAAAAGAAAAAGATAATAAAAAAGAAAAAGTATATAAAATAAAATTTCTAATGTGAGGCGAAGAGAGAGAGGAATATAGATAGGTGATAGGATAGGAATGAGAGAAAATGAGACAGAAATAGAAGAGAGTGCGTATCGTTGATTATAAAAAAAAAAAAAGAAAAAAAAAGAAGCTTTGACACGTTTTTTTTTTCTCTTTTTTTTTTTTTTTTTAATAATAATAATCGATTTAAACAGAAAATGATGGTGGGGAAGGAAATGAATAATAAAGAAAATGGATTAACACTGAACAGCGAACACAAGTTGGCCGCCCGTATGAGAGAATATGTGAAAATGCAATTGTAATACACTTAGGATTAATTAATTAATACAAAAAATATCAAATTAA